TCGTTTCAGAGGGTGTAAGGAGAGGCAGAATCCCCACTGAATAGTATTCATTTTGTCTAGACAGGTCTGGTGAAAAGAGATGGGTATAAGATTCTTACGATTCAATAGTGAGTAATGGATATCAAGACTAACTGCGACTGTCACAACTGTAAAGGTAGAAATTTTGTAACAAAAAGAGGGGAGTAGTTAATCTTACAGTCCAGGAATAGAGGACCATAGGACCATCAAAGGAGAAGAGCACAAGCAGAATGTGGGACCCTATCCAGAGAACCAGTGACACCAGAGATGGAGGAATAGAGCAGCTGAGGACTCTAGACTCATGGAAAAAAAAAAAAAAAAAAAGACTGGTTGTTTAAATGATTATATAACCCTGAGGGTTTTTGGGTACATCCTGAAAAATAAAAAAATTTAAACCACAGAGGGAATAGAAGCAAATACTATTGGATGATGATGCACGGAGGAGATTGTTATCACTGCAATGAAACGATGAGTGTAAAACTGATGGTGCCCCATGTAAACTATCACTCAGTTCACAATGAAAACTTAAAAAATAAAACAAGGCTGTGAGCACTGCAGGTTCTAAGTGATCAAATAAGACGGTGTTGAGTTTTATATTTTGTACACACTGAACAGTAAAGGAGCTGAAGCAATAGGTTAAGTAAAGACAATGATCATGATATAGCTTATGGAGGTGATTTACAAAGGGAGAAGCTACCCATACTAGCTTTTTAAAAACAGCTCAAAAAGTTTGTGGGATTTCATCACCAAAGTCAAATTACAAGAACAAAGCAGAAAGCCCACATTTCTAGATTTCAAAACTTACTATACAGCAACTGTAATCAATCGGGAAAGAATAGTCTTGCCAACAAGTGGTGTTATAACAACTGGATTTCCAAATACAGAATAGTAAAACTGAATCCCATTCTCACATCATCTAAGGAAATTTCACAGATCAGTGACCAAAATTTAAGTTCTAAAATCATAAAACTCTTAGAAGAAAATATAGGGACAAATCTTCATGACTTTTCATTTGGTAATAGTCTCTTACATATGATACGAAAAGCATGAACAACAAAAGACAAAATAGAGAAATTGAAATCTGCCCCCCAAATATTGTTCATCAAAAAATATTCATAAGACAGTGAAAAGATAGTCTGTAGAATGGAATATAATATTTAGAAATGATACACCTGATAAAGATTTAACATATAGAATATATATAAAAGAACTACAACTCAACAATAAAAAGATAAGCAATATAATTTTAAAATAGTCAAAAGACTTAAATACAAGAGGGTTTCAAAAAAATTCATGAAGGAATGAAATTAAAAGACAATGGAATTTGTAGCCAACATTTTGAAACCTCCCCACTCAACCGCCTCCCCTCCCACACATACTATGGTTACGTAAGATATATGGAGTCCTGGTGTGGCACTGTAGGATAAGTGCCAAGGTGGGGGTTCAAATTCACCAACCGCTCCTCAGAAACCCTTACAGGGTTGCTGTTAGTTGGAACTGACCTGATGGCTCGTAACAACAACAGTGAAGGTACATACAGGAATTCTCAGAACTATTTATGTAATTTTCCTTTAAGCCTAAAATTATGTATTTTAAACAATTACAATTATTTGAAATTAGTTCAAAATAAAAGAGTTTTACAAAGAAGTATAATAAAAAACTGAAATAAATGAAGCGCACCATTCAACAGAAACAGTACGGCAGCCACGAGTGTAATTTTCTTCTATGGCAGGGACTTTCTACTCTGGATACCGCCGCCCTTGCCATCCCCTCACAGGCATCACATGGGTGGAGAAGGACATATCACGTAACCTACAACGAACCCACCATGGAGCTGATTTTGATGAGGCTATAAATCTTTACAAGATCAGATTGTTGTTGTTAAGTGCGGTTCGACTCATAGTGATCCTGCATAGGGTTTCTGATGAGTGACTGATGAGTTTGAACTGTCGATGGTGCGATTCAAACCCACCTTTCAGTGCAGTGATTATCCTACAGCACCACACCAGAACTCCACTTGAGCAAACAGCCTCATCTTTTTCCTGCAGAGCGGCTGGTTAGTTTGAGCTGTGGACCCTGTGGCTTAACAATATAGCACCACCAGGGCCCCAATTTTAAGACCTGCCCCTGACATTCGAGAAGAAAACTAACATTCTATTCACAGATTTATATTATTTTTTAATTTTAATTTTTAGTGTGACTGGGTGAAGGTTTACAAAGCAGATCATCAATTTTACATTCAACAAATAATAGACTTCATTTCAACTTGACTGAAATCCTATCAATATAACACCATTTATCTCATTCCCTCCGTGTTTGTTTTCATTGCTACTTTTCTCCCTACTGTTCTGAAATTTGTTCATGAGTAAATGCTGCCCTTTAATTTCAAAAGGCTGACCATTCTAAGGCATGCATACTTCACTAGTGTTGCTTCCCTCTATTAACCTATCTATTTGCTTAAGGAGTTGGACTGCTAACCTCAAGATCGGCAATTTGAAACTACCAGTGGTTCTGTGGGAGAAAGATGAGGCTTTCTGCTCCCATAAAGATGTACAGCCTTGGAAACCCTGTACAGGGTCGCTATGGGTTGGAACCAACTTGACAGCACTTAACAGTAACATTGCTTAGGTGAAAACTGAACCACAGGGTGATTTCTGTTTCAGACACGAAGGGTGACCCAGGGCCACAGTCTTGAGGTTCTACCAGTCTCCATCTGACCTGGTCTTTTTTATTATTTTGAGTTTTATTCTATGTCCCCCCGTCCCACCAAAAAAAACACCATTGAGTTCTTTTGGTTTTACTGGATTAATGGTTCCACAGGATTGTTTCCAAGTGTCTTCAATTTTCATCACTTTTGTTTCCTCCAGACAGGGAGAGATGAATAATAGCACCTTAGAGGGCTGCTTATGAGTTTTTAAAATCCCAGTCTCTACTCATCAAAGTAGGATGTGGACCATTGTCTTTGTGAACTGTTATCCTAATTGACCATGGTATACCCTGCATCCCCAGACCTAGCAAATCATTTCCTTAAAGTGTTTGGTAAAGTCTAAGAAGTTTTCGTAACTTTTACCCCTCCATGTTCCATCACATTCATGGATATGTTTGTAGCAATGGTAAACATTGTTGTTGCTATATGCCATCAAGTCGGTTCTAACTCACAGCAACCCTGTATAAGGTTTCTGAGGAGTGACTTGGTGGGTTTGAACTGCCAATCTTGTAGTCAACAGTCCAGTGCTTATCCTACAGAGCCACATCAGGACTCCATAAAGGTAAATAGTCAAGCACAAAAATCTTCTGTCAAACCTTTGGTACATTCTCACTTTCTCTCCCACACCCGTTTTGCATGTGTTATCTATTCATGTATCTACCTATGTTGTTGTTGTGAAGTGCTGTCGAGTTGGTTCCGACCCATAGCAACCCTGTAGAGTTTCTGAGGAGTGGCTAATGAGCTTGAACCACCAACCTTGCAGTTCAAAAGGCTTTGCAGTCTGGCACGTTAACCCACAACGCCACATCAGGCCTCCAGGGGGTATCTACCCATTTGTTGTTGTTGCTAAGTGCCGTAGAGTTGGGCCAGGATCTGTAGATCACTGTTATTGTTTGTTGTTGTTGTTCTGTGCTGTGGAGTCAGTTCCGACTCATAGTGAGGGTTTCCGAGGCTGTAAATCTTTACGGGAGCAGAAAGCCTCATCTTTCTCCAGCAGAATGGTTGTTAGTTTCAAACTGCCGACCTTGAGGTTCACAGCCCGATTCATAACCACTACGCTACCAGAGCGCCTTGCTGTTATTGTAGGATTGTGTATATAACAATATTTAGCTCTGTTCCCTTTAACTCATGAATGAAAGGATAGAAATACAGAGAGAAATGTTATTCATTTGCCAGGATTCCTTATAATGTTGTTAGAGTAGATCAAGTACTCATTTGGGAAATAGCTGGGATCTAAAACTTCAGCAATTTCTTTATAATGAACTAATCTGAACATCTTTGAATTAAATATTAAAGAAAACTGAAAGTAAACTTTTATTTGGCTTGTCATCTTCTTGTTTTTGTTGTTAGGTGCACACAAGTCGGTTCAGACTCACAGCACAAGAGAATGAAATACTACTGCCCAATCCTGCACCAACCTCACTACTGTTATGTTTGAGCCCATTATTGCTGCCAGGGTTCCAATCTTAACAATGTAAGTTTTATTCTTAGTTCCAAAATTCTCACAAGACAGTCAGCTGAACAAGATTTTACTCACATTTTATAAGGCCTTTACAGAGAAAAGGACTTTTACTCTAGCTTTAACATATGTCAGAATATAAAACTGTGAGCTTCAAAAAGTTCATGAAAAAGTGGGAATGAAAGATAATGGAATTTTTCCAAGAACTTTTTGAAACCCTCTGGTATAATATACAATCAATGTTCCCATGAATAATACAGACGCGAACCACAAGACTGACAGTTCAAACCCACTAGCTGTTCCTTGGAAACCCTATACAAGGTCGCTATGAGTAAGAACCAATTAGATGGTACTTAACGACGACTCCAGTGCACTCAGGTGAGGAGGACATCTGATGAAAAGAACATGGCCTTGGACTAAAACAGTCCGAAGATTAAACCTCAGCACTATGACTTATAACTACTGGATCCTAAGCCAAGTTCTTTAGTCTCCATGAACCTTGCCGGAAAAAATATCAATTCAAAGTATTGCAAAGGTTAAAATAGATAACTATACATAAAACGCTTGGTCCATGGCAAATCACTAGATAAATACTCCAGTAGCGTAGTGGTTATGAATTGGGCTGCTAACCACAAGGTTAGCAGTTCGAAACTACCAACTGTTCCAAGGGAGAAAGATGAGGCGTTCTGCTTCCGTAAAGATTTACTGCCTCGAAAACCCTGTACAGGGTTGCTATGAGTCAGACCGACTGCACAGCACATAACCACCACCATTCTTCTCTATTTCATTATTAAAGAAGTGTTCTCTGTAACATACCGATTGAAGTTAATATCTGGGTAACTAGAATACTCCGATTTCATCTTAGCGTTTCGCCGTGGAAATGTGCAGAAAAAAGCATTAGCTAGAAGACTAGCAATCTGTTCCTGTGACATTGTGATGGAATGATTCATCTTCTGTTTCAGAAGGGGTACTGGCTGATAGAGGAAACAAAACAAAACAAAAAAATACAGATGAGAAGAGCAATAATTAGTTTAGCAATTTCAAAAGCAGAAGCACGAAAATTGCATTTGAGAATTAGGGCAAGCATAATTTCAGGCCACTCCTGAATTCTTACATCAGGAATATCGTTAAAGTCAAGGATTGTTTATCAAGGATGATTGGAAAAATGTTCTTGTTTGACAAATTGCAAATTGCTAATCAATAGTAACAACAGTAAAAAGAACACAAAACATTACTTAGTAGTGAAAACCAAGATTGCTTTAGCAACTAAGAAGTAAAAAACACATTACCAATGCAATGAAAAATTAAAATGAAACTGAAAATTGTAACAGTGAGTTTAGCTATTACTACTTATGCTAAATTTTGTTCTCAGCTAATGTTAAATATTATTGGGCAGAGCAATTTTTCTATTTCACTTCCAAATAAAATGATCTAAGAAAAAATATTAAATAAACTAGTCTTTATTTTGAATCTTATTTTGAATCACACTTCACACTGACAATTTATGAAACCCAAATCTAATACTAATAAAGCAATTAATGGAACATGGGAAAGCCACGAAGCAGAACTGTATATAACCTGTAATAAGATTGGCATTCACTACATACTCAAACATTACAACTTAAAGAAACCGTTAAGACATTTTTTCATAAAAACTTTTATATCTGAAATGTCTTCAAGTTGTGCCAAAATCAAACTCACTGATCCTTCATTTTCAGTATAATTCATACTACCTGAATATTGTGCTCAGTGGGTTTTATTCTATTTTTAATGTTTAAACCATGGTTTTAAAGCCTTAATGGCAAAACCAAAGGCCAACTGCCAGTATATGTATCAATAACATTTCAAAATGCTCCATTTTAATTTTTAGAGATGCTTTTTATTCTCTTTTTCAATAATTCTCTTTTGCAATAAAGTCAAAAGTAAGGAACCAGGGTATCTGTACTAATTTTAAGTAGCTTGTACAGAAAACTATTCTGACCATTTCTCAGAATGAATACCCAAAATGAAACTGAGGAAAGGCAGGCAAGGCAAACCAAAACCAAAATACTGTAATAATTTAGTTTTAAATAAATAATGGGAAACACACATCATTCCTACAGTAAGAGTTTGCTAGGAAAAAGAAAAGGTTAGCTTTCAATCCAACCATTTCTCCTGGAAGAAATAAAAAGTAAACAAACAAATGAAAAGTAAAGAACTTATTTCCACTGCCAAAACCCCCCCAAACCTACTACCATTGAGTTGGTTCCAACTCATAGCGACCCTATATGACAGAATGGAACTCCGTAGGGTTTCCATGGCTGTGATCTTTTAGGGAAGCCGACGACCACAGCATTCTCCCATGGAACAGCTGGCAGATCTGAACTGTTAACTAGTTAGTAACTGACTACACGACCGCTGTGCCACCAGCATTCCTTATTTCCACCACAGCATCTGAAATTCTCTTTCCTTCCAAGTCTTAGCAATTACCAGTTATAAGAAAGAAGAAATAGCTTATATTGATCTCCATTTTCAATCATGTACATGTAGTCACAGCCCAGTACTGAGCAGAGAGAGGTGACAGTGTGCCAATGAGCTACAGCAAGCACACTTGGTTTTAGTGAAAAATGAATTTTTTAACTAGCATTTCCTAAGTTATTAAAGAAAATGATTAAAAAGTTAATGGCGAGTATTTTACGCTTAGTGAATTCTAAGCACAAACATTTTTTATTTCTCAAATGAACAGTACAATTTTAAATACAGCAAGTGATTTCTGTTCTCTTGGGAAGGGGAAATGACTGAAAGCTTATACTTGGGGAAAATGTGAGGATGCGAATCCTGTCAAGATAAAAGAAGAGGCTAGTTATTTCCCTGTGCAATCCATCTACAACACTGACGGTACTATTGTTGTTGTTTTTAAGTGCCATCCAGTCTGTTCCGACTCATAGCAATCTATATAGGATTTCAAAGGAGCACCTGTTGAGTTTGATCCACCAACCTCATGGTTCAAACTGACCCTGTGGTCCAGTGCTCTATTCCACAGTCCAAATCATATACATAAGAAAGCACATAAGGGTCACGGTTACAGATACTTTGAAGGTATGATCAGACCTCAGAGGATTAGATTTGTGGGCTGAAAGATTTGGACAATAGTCTCATTGGACAGCTGAGACAATTGGTACAATATGTGCCTAGTTCAGGTGTAAAGTTATATTCAATATCCTAGTCTTGGAAGAGTAGTTTCTAGGATCTAAAAAGCTTGTGAGTGCCCATCAAAGACAGAACTACTGGTCTCTACTCCTTTGGCATAATAGAAAAAGATAGTTACAGATTCAAAAAAGAAAGCAACCTACAAGAAATAGTCAGCACAATCCACGGCTTCATCTATTCTGAGGCCAGAAGAACTAAGGTACCAGGCTACAACTACCAAATGTTCTAATCATGACCACAATAGAAGGACCATGATAGAATGGGAGAAAAATATAAAACTGAATTTCAAATTCTTTTTAAAAAGGAATTAATACACAGAAGCCAGTACAATACTGTACTGGTTGAGAATGGAAAACTCCCAGAGATATCATCCTAAGATACTCTTTAAACCCTGAACCAAAACTAACCTGTGAGCTAATAAACTGACTAAAAAAGTGATGAATATCACCCATAAATATTGTGGGCCTTAAAAAAATTACCTCTATGAAACCAATAACTTTGAAACAAACAAGAGAATATAAACAGGCAGGATAATGGAAAGAGAACAACAGAATGAAATAATGAGAATGGTTCTTGCTCTGTGAACAATGTAAGTAAGGTAACTGAACAATCTGCGCAGAAACAGATTCCTATTCATAAATCTAAAATTTACCTTTTGAGTTCTGTTTGTTTGGAAAACTAAAAAAAAAAAACCTTTTATTGGGAAATGAGTGAATGTTTACAGAGCAGATCATTAGTTTTACACTCAACAAACCATACACTTTGCATCACTACATAGTTGCAATCCCCTTCTTATACCAACAGTTAACAGAATTTACCTGTATTCACTTTAACGCATTTCTCTCTGTGTTCACTGATACCATCATATTTCCTTTGCTAACCTCATTTTTGTTGTATATTACCTGCCCTGCTCCCATGTTAACATATGTCTATGCTCTTGTTGTTGTTGTCAGGTGCCATCGAGTCAGAACCAACTCATAGCGACCCCATGCACAGCAGAACGAAACAATGTTCGATCCTGGGCCAACCTCACTACCGC